ACATTGATGGTTCTAAACCTTCACGAGAAAGAAAAAGAAGGTAACGATCGATACCTATTTTATTGCCAAGTTTCACTACTTCCATGTATGTCTAACTTCTGATTTTCGTCTCAGCATTGAAGTAGAAAGAACGCTCAATTCATGAATACTTCTAGAATATTCTAGAGCGGATGCAAGTATTCCTTGTGAGCTTATTAAGAGATAGTGAAAGTAAGCAATACTGACCAAACGTCTTTTCGTTAATATGACTACCACAATATATAATTGCGAGTTTCAATGGTTACCGGCGACAACATCATAGTGAACATTAAACCAAAGAAAGAAGAAGACATACGTAAGGAAAAGGAAAGCAGTCAAAAAATGATTGGCTGAACTGATTTGAATAAAAATGTGGAAAAAAGGTAAAGTTATATATGTAAGTATGATGTAAACAGTGGTGGTGAATGAATAGCGATAACTGAATGAAGAGAAAGGGCAGACATAGTGAAAATCAAAGTTAAGAAACACAAATAGATAAACAGAGGACACGGCCGATACGAACTTGTAAAAATACTATATATAAATTTGATATTTTAATCTCGTCAAAAATTACACTGACAACCTTCATTTTTATACGAATTTCTCTCATAGAAAAGACATGTCGACAGTGATCGAACAAGGAAAAATTGTCGAAGAATTACGAGCTGAAGCCAATATTCAACGAATTAAAGTGTCGATAGCATGCAAAGATCTAATTCAATTTTGTCAAGATCATAAAGATGGCGATGTTCTCGTATCTGGATTTACAAACATTCAGAATTCATACATCGTAAAAAAACCATGCACCATTATATAAAAATAGATACGTAATACATTTCTTATAAACTATTCGGACATTGTCTTGAAACAATCTCACGTAGTTTGCATTATAACTACAATGAGAATAATGTATGTTTATTTCTCTGCTTTCTGTATTTAATATCTTAATCATGTATGCAATTCATTTAAAAAGTATTTTGTGTTTATCTTCATTTTCTTCATATTATTTTCCTTCTATTCTGCTTGCTTCGAATAATTAGATCTATCTACATATATATATATATTCATCTTGTTTCATGTTTCCGAAGGAAAATGTATAGCAATCATCAACTTGTTTCTATACTTTATCTTTCAAAAAAGTTGTATCAAATTTGCTCAATCATTCTTTCAGCATGATAGCATTCATATTAATATTAACATTCAATGTGCTGCATTTAGATTCTGGATGTAAGCTCTTGGTAAAATAAAGACTGGCACTCACACCCTTAGTTGGTTATACAAGTTTTAGCTTTTTTAGTGCTTCTTCTCTGCAGATATAAATATATGAGCAAAATTTGCTTTTACACATTAGAGAATTTCGAATATTCAATATCTCAGAATAGGAGATAATAAAAAAAATTACGACTTGCTCAATGAACTAATCTCATTGAGAACATTACTTCTGTCAAGTTTGAAATTGGAACTCGAAATTTGATTTTCTGTGTGACCTCTGCTTGAAATCACATTGTTTTTGTAGAACAACTATGTAAAATGTTGATATTTTGAGAACGAAGGCCCACAAAACCAAACTATTGTAGGCTTTTCTATTACTCACACTAGTGTCTACCCAATGAACATCGTCTCGATCAAAAAACGATTAGATTCCTCGAGAGGATTTCTTATGACTAGAAATAGGCTAGAAACACACACTCTTTTAAGGATATTCATAGCTCTTTAGAACCTGTATGATGTATATTCATTGTATTAGAATACAGAGTTACATAGTTTGTAACATTCCAAATAACATGCGATGCAAAAGTCTTGGAACAAATGTCGACCTATGCTAGAACATATTGCCAGCTTCTAAACCAATCGGATTTTTTTTTTGTTGAAAACAGCAAAGTCTGAACTACAAGTTTTCTACCAGAGTTGATTTTCCTGAGCGAATCTACGAAGCAAGAAAAGCTAAAAGCTAAACACCTCCAAAAAAGTTCTTGGAACGTTTTTGCAATTTGAAAAGTGTCTACTTCTCAACTATCTTGAGCTACGTGGATCGAATTCTAAGAAAAAATACACCAAAATGTGACACATCGAAAGTTATATCGATATCAGCTTTGGTAAATTTTTTCAGTATTAGCTCGTGACTCTTTAATTAAAAAAATAGGAAATTGAAATTTTTGTAAAAATAGAGTCTTTTACAAGAATTATCTATTTGGAAGGAGATCAACTACAGTTTCGAGAAAGTATGTGTGAACTGAAATCTTTGTATGTGATTTGTTTCAAATACATGAGATCCTAGAAACTTAGCAGAAAAAAAGAATTCAAAAAACCTCATTTATTGTTGCAACACGGTCAGGTAGTAACCAAAACCAAATTATACAGTATCATCCAGAAAGAGATATATTTTTCTAAAGAAACCAAGACTAAATTTAACTTCGAATACACCATTGGACAGAGCAGTCTTTGTGCTACAAAATCATCATTACACGTGCGTTTTCATTTTGCTTTTAATATAAAAAAATAAAAGAAAACAAAAATGATATTGCGCGAATGTGAAGTTGCAAGAACTTTTTAGAGGTGTTTGATTTTTGGTTTCTCCTGCTTCGTAGATTCGTTCAGGAAAAACAAGTCTGATACAAAATTTGTAGTTCAGACTTTGCTCTCTCCAACAACAAAAAATTTGATTAGTTTACAAGCTGGCAATGTGGTCGAGCATAGGTTGACATTTTTTTCCAAGACTTTTGCATCGCATGTTAGGTCAAAACCCACATCCAATATTATATCGAATAGAAATAACTTCTAGATGATTCAATGATAATTATTTGTCCTCACAAAGCTTTAATCCTTCCTGTAAGTGAAATAAAGATACATTATAGTTTGGAACACAATCTAGATAAATACAGCAAATATAATTGTGTTTTAGCAGTTTCTAAATTATTAAAAATAGACACTTATTGAATTGATAGCACTTTCTTAAAAATGAATATGGCTACCTCATAGTTTTTCTCGTTTTTGTGTACATGGCGGATTTATATTAATGTTGTCATTGTATCTTCATAGTTAGGTGGTTCTCATTTCTGTAGAATTTCTAAATATTCATATGAATTTTCAAATGCTACATCATAATTTTCTTATAGATTTTGAATAATGGTTATATGTCCAGAAATGATTGCTGTTTGAAGATGATCATGACTAACAGTTTTGAAATGAAATTCTAAAGCTTTAGAATACATTTCTAATAAAATATCATATTTACACTGTATTAATGAGAGAGTAGCAATATTTTTAAACAATTCATCTATAATCCACGCATGTACTAATATCATTCGTTTCTTTTGTTCAGATTCAAGTGCCTTAATGAATTAAGAATGAGCATCGTCATAACTGTTGTTGTTTCGATACACTACAGTTTCCAGATGGATATACATAGATCTGATATTATTTAAGAGTTTAATATATTCTGAACTACTTCTCAAAGAAACTGAATTTTCGTAGATTTTCAATTTGAATAAACACCAAGATGACGTTGAACCAAAACGAAATATAAGTTTTGGCAGTTTGAGGATGGCTAGAAGAAAAAGCTAGCTGAATCGATAAGATTGTATTATAGTAACTTATGGCTAATTCAAAGTTTTATATTGTATGCCGTACAAACCTCATACTTCCTAAAGATTTCATTTTTTCCCAATATTTTAATAAGAATTTGCAAGTATTCGTCATAATTTGATAATACCAGATCATAGTGTTGTTGTTTCACATATAGGTTACCAATCTCTGAATAAGCACGAGCAGTGCTGAACGATTATTGTGGTCAACAGTCTTTGGTCTAGATTTAAAGCTTTTATCACACGACTATTGATGCATTAACACTACTCCTAAATTTTTGTATGCATCAGGAATTGTCTTGTCTGTCTAATACCGTTTTGTCTATCTGATTATAGAACTTTAAAATACGTAGATTCTTGTCTTCTCTTCTGGATAGCCTTTTCCATTGTCACATGTTCCCATTAAGTAATAAGTTTTTGTGATATTAACTTGAATACGAATCATTTCAGTATCATTCAAGAGTACTAAAGTGAATTTACATATTCTTAAATTTTTATTCAAGATAGTTAATGTTTCATCGTAGTTTTGATATCCGATTAAATATAAGGCAACTATACTAGTATATTTTTCTGCAGTATTAATATGGTTGAAAGTACTTACTAATTAAATTGATAATGCTTCTTCATACTTAATTTTGGATAATTCATAATCTTTTCGTTTTATATATATTATCAATTTCTCTGTAGTACTATTTTTATATTAGGATAATTAGAAGCAAGCGATGGATGCTTAATTAATTCTAATGCTTTTTCATAATTGATTTTTCAAATTAATTTTTGTAATGAAGAAAAGAAGTTTGTATCGTCGGTTGACTTACCAATGCTTAAAAGATAAATAACTTTTTTTTACGAATTGAATAAACAAATAAAATATATTTTCATCTGTTCTTTTTTTCTGATTATTGTACTTTTGCATTGGTATTTAAAAAAATAAATTTCTTATGATCTAATAAAGAATGTCTTTACCTCGTTTAGTATTTTAACTACTCTCGATATCAGAAACATAACGTTTTTATACAATTCTATTGCTTCTTTTTATTAGAATTTTCCATGTAAATGTTTTATGATAATAATTAACAAATGAATAAGCAGTTTATCATTGTTCGTGGAATAATATTACAAAAAATGAAATTCTGAATTTCGCCGAATATAAGAGACAAACAATCATCTTTTATCATTTTATTGATAGAACAGGTGAATAAATTAAGATAACAGATAACGTCGTGTTCTTATCAATGGTTATAGACAACTTTTCCTTTAGAAAATAATATTTCTTATTCACCAGTTAAAATACTCATAACAAAGACAATTTAAAATAAAGTTTCTATAGGAATCTTTATTTAGTTGACATTGACCATCTTGATTCTTGTAAACAAAAAAATTTTTTCATTTTATTCGATGGCAAAGATCTACGAAACACTCCAGGTAAAACTTGAGTCGAGAAATATCAATAATCAACTTTTAGTAAATATTTTCGCTCTGATTCCATATATTTTCTTACACCATGTAGAATTTAAAACAATAAAAATCCATTACCATTTGATTGAGATAGAAAATAGAAACATTTGATTTTTTTTTTTGGTTAATAAATCAAACATCTTAATTAATTATAATTATATTCCTGTAGAAGTTACTTATAAGCTATGAAGATTGGCCTAAAGCAATTATAACAGAACAAACATTTATTGACTCTGTGTTCATTATTCGTGGCAAAAATAGAGGAAGATCAGCATGGCATTATCTTCTGGTTCCTGTTAACAAAGTTACTGATCTAAAGGCTCAAAAGTCAGGTGCAAATATCGATATCACAAAATTTGGTCGCTTGATAGAATATCGTAATAATCGAGATAAAGTTATAACATTGTCTGGATGGGGAACTGATCCACCTGGAATAATTCAAACATGGATTAGCGAGCATTATAGTAAGAAAAAGTCTATTATCTTAGAATTTATCTAGATGGTAAAATAGATCAAGTAACCAGAAAAAACCGATAGTTTAAGTTTTCTATATCTAGTTTTCTTTTTAATAAGGAATACAACTTTAAAAAATTAATCCTTTGGATGATAAGATGTTTCTTCAATATCTTAATTAGTTATATATCATTCTAATATGAAATCTTAAGGATACTACTGTTACATTCACGAATCTAGTTAAAATAGCTTTCTTACTCAATCGACTTATCAGTAAAAGAATCACAATGTTTTAATGTGAACAATTGAATATACGATTAAAAATTTTCTATTTTTCAAAACATTTTTTCAATGTAGATTCATCTCCTGCTGTTGATGAAAGCATTAATTTGACATACACAAACGATGATATTCGACTGTGTACAATGCAACGCGCTATACCAAAACAGATCTTAGGTTTTTTTCGCCATTACTTCTCACAACAACCATTCCATTACATCAAACTAATGGAAGATTTACCATCGAGTTTAGCTCGTCGAGCAGGATTAAAGAACTATGACCGAGTTATCTTTTTAAATGGTATCAATATTGAAAATGATACTTATGATCAATTGTGGTATCGTTTTGATACTGAACGAGATCTTCCAGTACAAATGTTTGTCTGTAGCCCAGCTACATATGAACACTATAAAACTAATAAAAAGGCTTTTCATTTTGATCTTCCAACTATCCAACGTTTAAAACCTGTATATGCAACATCAAGTAATGAACATGTATTTGGCTTTTACTTCTTATCTAATTATTATTTCTTTTATCGATTTAATTCTAGCATCGGAATCTCATACAGATGTGCCAGTAGTTTCTATTGATAATAAAAGTTTTTGTGCTGTCCAATGGGAAAATAGCAACATTGTTTCTACAGTACCTCAATCAGCGATTTTTAAATCACCTGAATTTACTGAATTAAATGATATCTGTTTTATTGAAACAGAAGGACAATATCGTAGAGGACAAATTATCTTTAAAGGTTTGCTGTTACTACGTATAAAGATTGCTTAAAAATATTTTCATTTATTTTCAGGTTCACGAAATGATTGCGACAAGTTGAGGACGGCTTCAGTTTCACCAGACATTGGTGACACTTCGAGTATCTTGACCGATTTGTTCATCAGAACAACTTCAAACGTTCTAGATTCAACTACAAGTCCTAGCCCTGACCCTGAATTCACTGATGACAAGTCTGCACGTTCATTAGATACAACTATCAAATTATCTTCACAAAAATCATCTCAGGTATACGTTATATATGAGTTAATTATTTTATAACGATTCTATTTATTTATACCAAATTCAATTGTATAGTCACACAAGAAAAATATGAAACTCAAATTTTTGTATTTTATTTAATCACCATCCAAAAACTAGATGTTCTGACCAAGTATTTATTTATTTTAGAAGATGGCAACAGATACAGTGCAAGCTCAAATAGCTATTCAAGATAGAGATGATGATACCAAAATGATGCAGAATATCGATGGTGTTCAATACATTCAAAACCGTAAGTTACAGTTAGATGTCGTAATCAGAAAAGGACTAAAACTTTTAAATAAAAACCTATGAAAGTATCTTGAACCGGCACATTTCACTCATCTTTTTCATCATAAAATATATAATTAAACGAAGAGATCGTCTAAGTTCATGACTCAAATAGTGAACTGCGCAGGAACAACTTTTTTCAACGAGACACGCACCGAAGCTAATCGACATCTGACAAATATTTCCAGAGTCACAATACGATCTTCGAACTTTTAATTTATATAAAAAGCTATAGTGTTTAGTTCCTCCATAAGTAGCAACAAAAACAAAAGGAATCAACACAGGTCCCACAATAGTGAAACAAGACTCTCTTGTTGTTTTGTTGCTGATAACGTTGAAAATGGAACGTAGTATTGGTGCCAAACGTCATAATTGTGGATACATACGTGAATGTTTTTTCCATCACCAACAAAAAAAGTTCATCTTTTTGATCATTTATTGTCTTCTCAAATGGTTTTATATAAATAATATACTTTAATATAACCAGCAAAAATCATTTCTATTATGATTAGTGTAACATTTTAGAAAGTATTTTTCAA